AAAAAGTCCTCTCCTGAATGCACAAGTGAGGCATAATTGCATTGTGAATTTTTCTTATAAATAAAAACACTACCATGAAATTAAAGAAAATCATATATATATGTGATCTGAGTTTTAAATTGATTTTATTGGATTTTTGTAATATAGTAGCTGAGTTATGAGGAAGAAATGATTGGAATCTTATTATAACCACAAGAATGCAGTATCAGCAGTATGCAATTAGTGTTTACATGTAAACTGAAGCATTGTATAGAGTAAATCTCCATTGTATTTACAGAGGTCACTGTAACGCTAATGTAGAACAGAACTGTCACCCCACCTTCTCAAAGGGTGCAGTGCTACCCATGACAATGTTTCTGAATTGGACTGAGATATGCACTCATCTGTTCATGCTAAACAGTTCTGCTTCATGAGGCAGAACTGGCTGATTGCAGTTGTAAACTCTTGACATTTTCCTCTGCAATCCCATCTTGAAAGTGTAGTCTGTATCCCTGCTACCCTCTCTCTAGGGCTGATGTGCTTTTGGACTTTAATCAATAAGCCCAGAGGAACATGTTCCACCCCCTTTTTGTGCATCAGGCTCCACATCCAGCCCTACGTGTAGTTTTTGTGAGCACTCTTGGTGACCTGGTAAAGGCTGCAGATTTTCAAGAGCATCAAGAATTCTTTGCTATTTTGCAAATACTGTCCTAACTATTTCCCACAAGTAACTCTTTTTTTAGGTCTCTAGAAATGTAGATGACTATGATTAATCCCTTTTATCCGAATTTAGCAGGTTATAAAATACTTTACAATCTTAAGTTAAGAGGTAGAATAAATATAATACAGAAAAAATTTTAAAGATTTCCAGAATTGCTGCATGATGTCTTTCAATATTTTGTTTGGTTTTCATTTTACAGTCATTTTGCAAATATGTAGTGTATAAAATGTATCATTATCACCTAACTAGCACACTTTATTAGGTATCTCATTTTGTTCTTCCATCAAAATAGAATGTATCTTATGAGGCTAGAATATAACTGCTCAATCTGCATTAGATCCAGAATGAGGTTTGTGGCTTTTTTTCTGAGATCATGTTTTGAAGTTCAACTATCCAGATCTCTCTATACATTTTTCTGCTGTGTTCAATAAATGGGATAATTCTGTCTATCCTAAGAAGTTACATAACAAACATTTTTGTGCCCTAGAAGAGAAAGATTGTCTTTTAAAGCTAGCAAGAGTCTACTATTCTTGCACAGACATTTAATTGCACACAGTTAAAAATCTACATTAAATGCCAAAACTTACATTATTTTAGCTTTTGATGTTGTAACTTCAAACTCGTACCCCACACAAAATGTAGAGTTTAGAGACCTTTATAGAAAAGTAATTTTATTTTCTCTAATGTTTCTTTCTTGCTGGTGTCTCTCATGCTGCTTAACACTGTCCAAAGATTGCAAAAAACTGATTCAAGAATCAGTCCTCCTGTGGGTTTATTCCTAATCAGCATTCTTGCTGTGTGGGCTGGTTTTGAATTTTTGTTTGCTTTCTGGTTTTGAAGTACACAGGTATAGTCCAAATTCAGAGACAGAACTCTCCCTGCTTATAAATTAGAGGATCTTCTTTCATGTTCAATAATAACCTTTGAGGCATGAGAAGTATTTAATACTTATATTCCTTTTTCATAGTTTGTTGTTTAACTATTAAGTCACTTGATTAGTACACAATTCAGTGCTACCATCTACAATGCTAAATAAAGTGAAATCTACATCTGTTTATTAGACCACTACCATTCCTTTTGTTTTAACAGGTTTTTTTTTGTCATATGGTTTATTTGTTGAAAAAAAGGTCATGCTAGAATGAGAGACCTAGAAAAACCCTAGTATTGCTCACCTCATGATCAGTCCCAATTTAATTTTTTCTCTGTTTTTATTAGTATTAATCATAAAAATATTTTTCTTTTATAGTAGTACTTTTATTTTGCAAAGGTACTGGAATGTTTAAAGTAGACCTGTCATTCTTGAACTGAAATTTTATTAATTCACTGGTAATTTGTCCTACTATAGAACCTCTCTCTTCTTGGCTTTCTCTCTTGTGAGCAAATCTCACTATTCTCACTATGAACACCTCAGTATGCATTATGCTTGTTAGAGACATTGTCCATGTTAAAGTTATGAAATTCAGCTGATATTTCCAGAGGTATGATCTAGAAATATTAATAATATGTGGCAGATCAGGCTGTTCTGCACTAGCACTAGATGCTTCTAGACTGAGAGAGTCTGGAATGCCACAGAAAGGGGTGAGAGACACTTTTATGCCACCGCAGCAGTCCTGACCATCTTTGGAGTTGCACTAACCCCATTAACCACTAATCTGTTACCATTAAAACAAAGACAGTTATCAATACAAAAGAATAGAAATGCATAAATATAAAATGCAAAGGGCAGTATGAGTAGAAGTGTATAAAGAATGGACTAAGTTCAGATTCTCCATGAAATCAGCCAAATCCACAGCCAGAAGAACAAACACTGTTGAACTCTACCAAATGTAATGTTTAAAAATACTGTATTCAGGAACAGTTCAGCTGTGTGATGACTACCTTTAAACTTCACAGAACTCAATGAAAACCATTTAGTTTAGACCATGCCCTTGAGTTGTGTTTCTTTTTAGTACTGAGTGTATTTATTACTGGGAGTCATCTGGCTCCCTTCAAGTGGCAGGGACCTGGGTAATTCCAAGTTGGAGTGTACAAAAGCAGCTGTGTTCTTCTCACCCCCTGGGCTGCACTGAATATTACCTGGTCACAGCAAGGATCAGGGGCTCTGTCTTTATTCTCTCAGTTCTACAAAACCGCTTATTTTTGCAGTTAATGGTGACTTTGCTGTAAATATATGTTCTGGGCAGCAGAAGGCAAAGACTGTTGGTGGCAGAAACAATAAACTGTTTGTTTTATTACTGTCTCTCAAACATTGCTTTTAATCAGGTAGAGTTGCTCCAGGGCTGTTTGGCTTCTGCACATGATCCAGCTGTACAATGAGCTGTATTTGTGCAGTACTTCAGTGTTGGAGAGTTGACATTGAGATGATTGCTTTCTAGATGTTAGTGTTTTTTTCCATTAAACTTATAAAACACATTTTTTATGTAATATGGTCAAGATTATTATGGTTTAAACTATGTATGCCAGTTTAAAATGAGGTTTTCAGCATTATGACAGATTTGGATAGAAAATTCAGCCAAATAAGGCAAACCTTGACTTTAAAAGCAACTTGAAATCAAAAGCATGTAAGATGAAGTGTTAGGTGGTCATGAGTCAATTTCTAGCTGAAAGAATCATATGCTTTGAAGTCCTGTATCTGCATTTGGTGAAGTGGCCGTGCTAACAGTAAGTTTGCTATAGGAGCTATGGAGGGGGAGAGGGGAGAGGGAAGGGGAGAAGTGGGCCATTTTTACAGTACCTTAAATGAAGAGCATAAATTAAAAACTTACATTCAAACTTGCACATTTTTGTACACACATCGCTGACTGTGGTACCGTATGTAGTCACATTGAAGTACTGCAACAAAAGTAGCAGGATTTAAATTTCTTTTTCTCTTCCAGTTCAGCTGTTTTTCCCAACAGCTAAAATCAAAATTATATCTAAAGTAGGCTTTATTTTTTGTGTATACACAAAGACACACACATACACTCCTTTACTTCATGTATCAGACTGCTTATGCTTTATACCTGTATTGTGCTTACAAATTGGTAAAGTTAAATATTTTTATTTCAAGAAGACAAGATGTTCATCTGCTGAGAGCTATTGTGCCTAGGCTGGACAACAAAATAGTCTGACAAGAGCTTTAGATTGTGGGAAAATTTAATAAGCAGAAAAGCTCTCCAAAAGTAGCCTTTCAGGAAGTTTGTGGCCTTATTATAGAGGTAGGCAAATCCATCCTGTACTGTTTCTTTGAAGAAGTCCTGCAAAACACTGCTTTCAGGACAAGTAAAGAGTCTTGAACTTTAAAAGGGTGGAAAACAATGATGTTTTTATTTTGTTCCTGAAAAGGAAACTAAATTTGGTTACTGAAGATTGTAATTTATGGATGTGAAGGGTGCTGGTGCTACGCTGAATTTATAATAATTTCTGTTAATTTCAATTTTACTGAATGTTTGGTGTAGTAATACATTAGCTTTATTCAACAACTAAGTAACTGTATCTGAATCTGAACTAGATATACTTTTTTCCCCTCTTATGTATATAATGGTAGATTTTAAGGCAGTAGAAAGACCACATAAATATATTACCAGCAAAAACTGTTATTATCACTATACTAACAGAAAAACTCTGAACAGGTGCAGCATTCTCTTCCTCAATATTATTGTTGCAAAAATCTCATGCCACTGAAATGTAAAAGTTGTAACAGACATTTTTATGTATAATTTCAGATTAGGCTTAGTAAAAGTGTCCTTTCTTTAAAAAAAATTCAAAAATATGTTCAATAGTATATAGTATATTCCTTTTACTGTGGCTAAGATGATATATATCTGATGATACTCTCACCTTGACTCCTTCACTCTGGTGTTTTTCAAGTTTTGAGAATTTTGTCTTACTGCCTTAAAATAGGGCATGCTATAAGAATAGTTTTTACTGCTTTCTCTCCTTCAATTTTCTTAGCAGGCAACACTTGATGGTACCTGTCTTTAATGGTTCAGAGAAGCAGATCCTGAGTTAAAGAAAATGTCTAATTTTTTTAAGAGTCCTGATCTGACTTCTGTAACATTTTCTACAATTAATTTTTCATAGATTCTAAATATTTCATCTGTTCTTCCTAACCTCTCTATTTTATTTTATTATTTTGCCATGTAAATGTTATAAATCAATCACAATGTAGTTACTAGAGTCTCCTGACCACATGCCTTTTTATCTAGATAAGCATGCACAAAAATCTAGTGGTGTGCCTCAGTTCCAGTGCTCCTTTGAATCCAAAAAGCATTCTCTGGCTATGGCACTTCTCTGGGCATGGGCTCTTTCACCTTTCCAGTGCTTCCTGCTCTGCTGGAGATGGGTTGGCAAACAGAGGACCAGGATCTTGGCCTGGAGAGGAGGAGGCTCGGGTGCCCTCATCACTCTGTACCTCTCCCTGGAAGGAGGCTGTAGCCAGGTAGGGGTCAGCCTTTTCTCCCAGGCACCCAGTGACAGGATTAGAGGACTTGGTCTTCTTCAGCTGTTCCTGGGAAGGTTTAGGCTGGACATGAGAAGAAATTTCTTCACAAAAAGGCCGATTTAACATTGGAATGGGCTGCCCAGGGAGGTGGTGGAGTCTGTTGCTGGAGGTGTTTAAGGAAAGACTGAA